TGTGTAGGTATATTTAGATAATAGAGAAAGAAATGTGGAATTGCTGGTTCTTGTCATTTATTTATTTTTCCACGTGAATTTTTTTTTATAATTTATTTATGGGGCAGAGCGGATGTTACTAGAGACTTTGATGTTATACTCATGTTATGTTGTTGGCGCAATGTTACGAGGAAGCTGCTAATAAAGTTGCATACGAGTACACAGTGGATTCACGTTTATTATTATATTTACAATATGAACAATCTACGTACACACCAAAATCCCCCCCGGTAAAATTGTTGACCGGTCGGCAGTGATAAAAAGGTTGGGGACCACTGATTTAAACCACTTCTTTTTTCTTTTCTTTTTTTAGTACAGTCTCGCCCTTTGAGCTGCTGGTGTAATTTTGAACTTTGAAGCATCTTTATGGCAAGTGAAGCAAAGACCTCCTGGTTCTACTGCACATAAATGAGGCTGACACTGATCAGAACTTAGTGCAAGAAAGGGAATAAGTGTATTTCCCAAAATGTTGAAATGTTCCTCAAACCAGATAGGCTGCATTCTGATGCCTGAATATGTCTTTGTGTTGTCCTGTGACCTTCCTCTTATTAAAGTTGTATCTCTTCTGCTTATTTTCCAGCTGTGGAAAATCAAATCTTAATGTGAAACCAGCAAACCACTAACATTCGCACAGTGGGGACCAGAAACTCCTTTTGTTGACTGCAAAGAGCCTGCTCTCTACAAAAAGTGTGCAGACCTACTGTCAATATATTCCTTGCTTGTGCCTTCCAAATGAAACTTTGTGGTCACACATTTCATCATTCATTCACAAGCCTGAGATGCTCCGACAGTCACTCACACAGCGTTACTGACTGCTTAGCTGATGTGGTAACACAGTTTCCATTAGCCACATCACTAACCCAGTGCCTAACTTTTTACCCTTGAATGTTCCTCAGCATGTGAATAAATATTGTGATAATTTCACGTCTGGCATTGTCAGACTTCTTCAGATTTCCAGATGTCTTGTACAGTGAAATGTAAATGAGATAATTGCAGATAATGTAAACAGTTTCTTTAGTCTTACCCACTGATGATTCTCCTCACTTTATCAGTACAGTTAACTGTAGAAAAAATAGGTGTGCTGTCTAAAGCCAGTAAACCAAAAAAAAACAAAAACAAACATACAACTCTACTTTGATTTCAACGTTTTTTTTTATTATTTAAAGGGGAAATAAAATTATGTTGGCTTTATTTATTTGGGGCTTTGCTTTTTCTGTTAAACCCGAGGTACCTGTAAATTGTGACAGGCCACTATCTACATTTTGTATTGAGGACCACTGTTGAATATGAAGTTGAATAAAATGTTTTGCATCCGTGGATGTTTGCATCTTTTTTTTAAGGCGCGCGCTCCACCAGCGCAGCCTCGTTCTCACGCGGCGGCGCCCTCGTGCTTCTCTTCTCAGGGCTTTTGATAGTGGTAGTGACGTATGCTGCCGTATCTCATATCAGCGTTACGGTGGAACAAACAATACGTGGAGGCACACGTCCAAGCTAGGAAGGACACCGGCCGGGAGAGGAGCCACCACAACCCCAAGGACAGATCGACCAGACTGGCGTGTACGACCGCAGCGGCGGGCGCCAACGGTCGGTCCTCCGGTTCCGGTTTCGACACCACACGGGCATTTCTGACTGGCACGACTCATCATATTAACCTGACGACCAGGTAAAAAATTAAAAAAGGGAGAACATGCTGTCTCATGTGGATTAGGTTGGAGGTGAAATGGGATATTAATGTTCTTAAGCTTATTAGATTTATTGTCGCATGAGCCACCAGAGGAAATCACTGCCTTGCTCCCTGGAGGCTTTGTAAATATCGTTTAGCCAAGTAGATTTTTCCTTTAACAGAGGATGTGGCAGAGCCTCATGTCCTCTGGTTCTGGTTGTCTGCCAGGGATACACGAAGTCAGACCCATAACGCGTTTTTAGAAAATCTATAGATTTGTGTGCATGATTCTGCTTTTCTACTGTTGGTAGGGCACGGATATAACAAATTACATGAATGTCTGATTGCCGTTTTAGACCACCCTGGACAATGCCCCTGTGAGACACAACTGACTGAGCTCTAACAAGATTTCAACATGTCAAACACTCAAAGAGACAACGGCTCTGCAACCTCAGCAGAGGCCAAGAAAACAGACCCAAGGATGAATGAGAAGAAATGCTGTAAGTCCAGTCCAGGTTTCCCACACTTAGCTATGACCAAGCTCTTTTGCATGGCTGCTTAAATTAAATTTGTTCAAGGTGCACTTGTAATATAAGACTCTGTGTTCACTCTATACTGAATTCACAAATTGTTTCTTAAATCAGTTACAGCTCCTTCACTGACTCCAGTATTAAAAAAAACAACCTAATTATGAGCAGTGATATAGAAATACTCTGTTCTGTAGCTCTACAAATTTCTTCAAGTGCTGCTAATTGTGTCTATATATTTTGCCCTGTATGCACTTGACCTATTTCTTATTTGGTCTTAATCCATGACACACTTTTAATGGAGTTGTTCATTGGTAATGCTGAACTGCAGCCTGACTTTCCAAGACGTAGCAAAGCACCTACTTTTTTGTTATATCTTGTAATGCAGGTGATTAACATTGGAGGGTCACACATTATTTACATAAAGGGTTTAGGACTTTTACTTATGTGTATTGTGTATGTGTCTCCTGTGCAGCGTGGGCTTCCTATATGACAAATTCTCCAACAGTGATCGTAATGATCGGCCTGCCTGCAAGAGGGAAGACCTACATGTCAAAGAAACTCACCCGTTACCTCAACTGGATAGGAGTTCCAACCAAAGGTAGTGCGTGACCTTACAAATATGAGTCTGTTTTCCTTTTCATTATCTATCAGTTTATCCATCTTGGGTCCTATATTGGACTTTTTAAAAAAAGTATAGCTTTATGTGGTGTGCTGTAGTATCTTATGTAGCAGTTTTAAATCAATATTTCAAATCAGGTTCTATCTCAAGGTCATTCAAACCACCTTATTGATATCTGGAGGAGAATTTGAAGTTGTTATACAGTAGTTAGGAGTTTACCCCGTCACAAATAAAAGTCTGCCATAAAATTGTATCACCAGTTGGCTGAGGGTCATGAAATTGCAGTTTTAAGGTTGCTAACGTGTTGCTTGCAAGTGAAACTGATTTTTTTTTTCTTCGGTATTCTGAATGTTCTGTGTGCTGTTGTGTACAGTAACCACCTCTCACTCCACATATTTAAATTTACTGTATGTCAGACTATCTTAAAACAGGAGATTGCATTTAATATCAGTTCTGTTATAACAGGTGATATTGCTTAACTACATAATTTATGACTTCAGTCAAGCAAGGGCAGAGTGTTAAGGTTGTCTCTTGATTTTGCAGTGTTTAACTTGGGCGTGTACCGCAGAGAGGCTGTCAAAGCTTACAAGTCATATGACTTCTTCCGCCATGACAACGAAGAAGCCATGAAGATAAGGAAGTAAGTTCCACTTTTTAAAATGGGCTCTATGTATTATGTGCGCTGCAGCATCTGTGCTGTGTGGGTGTCATATTTCTCAGTGTGTTTGGTGTTCTGCTGCCTCCACTGCTGCAACAGTGATTAAGCTGTTTTTGGGCCAACAGTCAGTATTCAGGAGGGGCCAGTACAGTGTTTAGACCACCTCGAACTGACGCTGATCTTTAATTTAATGTGCAAAGACAGGCTCATCACACATGACTACAAATATTCTCACTACATCTTTGTATTTATGTGGTTATATTCAGTTAAACTGTAATTCTATGCTGAGTTCACCAAAAAATGAAGAAAGGATCAAAACATCTCTTTCCCCCTTGGCCTCACTTACTTGCAGTAATTGAAATGAGATTTATAGTGCATGGCTGTCATAATGTTGATCTGGATTTCAAGCAGGCTGCTGGTGCTGTCAGTCTGGAGCTGACACAAGCCATCCGGGGTGTTACATGGATATCAGACCTGGGTCAAACAGCAGCTGTAAATAATTCAGAGAGTTGCAGAGGTTTAGAGGAATAATTAAGCATTTTGTGAAAGTACACCTTTCTGCTTTCTTGTCAAGAGTGAAATGAGGAGTTGTATGAAGCTACACCCAGCAGCTGGTAACCTAAGCCTGGCAATCCGAGTATAAACAGGAGGAAACCGCTAACCTGGTTCTGTCTGAAAGTAGCAAAAATTCAGCTACCGGCACCTGTAAAGTCCAATATCTAAAACATTATATTTTGTTTTTTTACTGTATAGAAAACCAAAGTGTACAAACTCCAGAGCTAGCTGTTTCCCACTGTTTTTAGTCTGTATGCTAAGCTAAGATAGCTGTCTGCTGGCTTAGCTTCGTATTTATCAGATATGTGAGTGGTATTGATCTTGTCATTTATCTCGCAGCAAGGAAACTAATTTGTTTAATTTGCCAAAATGTTGAACCAACCCTTAAACTCAACATGGAAATTTAGATTTGGGACAATGTAACGCTTTCCTCTTCACAAAACCCCACCCATCTGTTCTCCATGTAGACCAAAACAACCAAAAACTGTCCACAGTGACTCTGTGATATTAGAGAGTGCCAAGTTTGTGGAAAAACATATTGAATATCTATTTTACAATGCATTTTACACAACAGTGCTACAAATAAGACAGTAGCCAGTTCAGTCCATGAACATTTGCAGAAGCAACTGATAATTGAATACTAGAAAAGCACAAACAGTCTTATCAACAATATTATACTGGTGATGCAATGTAAACTTTAATGGATTAAATTTTTGCCTTGTTTCCTCTCTCTCTCCTGCAGGCAATGCGCTCTGGTAGCTCTGCATGATGTGAAGTCGTACCTGACGGAGGAGGAAGGTCAGATCGCGGTGAGTTCTTTCTGCCTTTCTCTACATCTGTGCCTCTTTGCTTGTTTTGTCAATGTTGACTCGTAACCAAAAGCCTTAAATTACACACCATCAAACATTTTACCAGAGAAGATCTACAATGTAGATAGAAATATTTTATCTTCCTTTGTGTCACTTTTGTCAGGTTTTTGATGCAACAAACACAACAAGAGAACGGAGAGACCTTATCCAAGCTTTTGTGAAAGAGAATGCATTCAAGGTATGGTTGCCAAAATGTATATTTTTAAGTTATCTGTCCCCTTTTGGTTGTTGGTGGAAATTAGATACATTTTTAAACATACAGCTTTTGAATCGAGCATTATCTTGCACATACACTGAGACTCTAAATGTCAATGATAGGTAACCTTTGCCACAAGTGGTAAATCCAAGATAACTGCTCATTAAATTGGCCTTCATTTTCCAGGATGAACTTGAGATAACTGCTTTAAATACATTATCGTGTGTATCTGCGACGAACAGAAAAGGAGTCATAAAGTCATGCATGCTCGGCACAATTCATTCTCTCAGTTCTCTCCTTGTACTCCGGCTTCCTCCCACAATCCAAAGACAAGCAGCTTAGGTTGACTGGACACTCTAAACTGCCCATAGGAGTGACTGTGAGTGTGTGTGGTTGTTTGTCTACATGTCAGCCCTGTGATAGACTGGTGAGTCCAGGCTGGCCACCGCCTCGCACCCAATGTCAGCTAGGATTAGCTCCCAACCCCTGAGACCCTTTTCAGGAATAAGCGGTATAGATAATAGATAGACAGATGGATGAGGAAGAAAATGCACTCAACATGTTTGTTGGATGTCAAGGATGTATGTACAGAATTGTTTGTTTTTTTTGTGAAAAATAGGAAATATGAACATACTACAAGGAAACTCTACAGGACACCTTTGTTCTCTGACTTATAAACTGTGTAATGGAGTGTCATGGACATGACTCAGTGGACAGTTTCAAAAAGATTTGGCGTATGTTGATTTCTGAGCTGCTCTTTTTCCAACAGGTGTTTTTTGTGGAGTCCGTGTGTGATGACCCAGATGTCATTGCTGCCAATATTCTGGTATGATATTATGTCATCTACAGGACTTTTAGGTTTGACTGTGATTTCTTGACTGGGTCAAACTCATAATCTATTAATATTCACTCCACCAACAGTGTTATGTAAGAACTAAACTGGCTTCTCACAGTGTTTAAATGTTTTCAATACCTGTAACAGGAAGTGAAAGTGTCCAGTCCAGACTACCCTGAGAGACACAGAGAGAGAGTAATGGATGACTTCCTTAAACGAATTGAATGCTACAAGGTTACTTACCAACCGCTGGATCCTGATGATTACGACAAGTAAGAATTCATCAATTCTTACAGTTCGTTTTTATGTAAATAGCTCATTACCACTTTTAAAATATATTTTTTACTACTAATACTACTGGGTCACTCATGTGAAGCTTACTTTAGGAGGTTTTTAACCAAGCAGTAAACCTGTTGCATACTCTTATTTTAGGTGATTGCACGTTGCAATTCAGAAAATAAACACTAGGTGGTGACATTAAACAAACATTTGAGTCAACGACCTGATTCATTGGCACCTGCAGGGAGCTGTCTTTTATCAAAGTGATGAATGTGGGTCGGCGTTTTCTGGTGAACCGAGTGCAGGACTACATCCAGAGTAAGATTGTTTACTACCTCATGAACATCCATGTGCACTCTCACTCCATCTACCTGTGTCGGCACGGAGAGAGCAACCACAATGTTGAAGGCCGCATTGGAGGAGACTCTGAACTTTCTCCTCAAGGGAAACAGGTGTGATTACCCAGCTTCTTATTCATAATCCTCATTTTGTGAACCGCAAAGCCAACATCTTCTCTCAACCCAATGATAGGCCTCTCTCGAGGAGATAGATTAGATGGATAAGGTGTACTTAACTTTAATATTATGAACATCTGATTCATATGTAATTGTCTCCATGTCACATTTTCCTGACTCTATCCACTGAACCATTATCTGTGAAGCTGAAATACCATTAAAATAAAGAATTAATGATTGATAGATGAGGAATAGATAGATGATTGCAAACTTCTCTCTGTCTCTCTCACATCATAGTTTGCCCATGCCCTGCGAGATTTCATTGAGGAGCACAAACTGTCTGATTTGAAGGTGTGGACGAGCCAGCTGAGAAGGACCATCCAGACAGCGGAGGAGCTGGGGGTGCCCTACGAACAGTGGAAGATACTCAACGAGATTGATGCTGTCAGTACCCTGTCATCTAACCTCCCATGTTTTACAATTATAACAATCATTACAGTTTCATAGAGCTCTGGTTTAGAAGGACAGAAATTATATTTTGGATGTTTTTCTGAGATACCTGACACTGAGTAATACAATACACAGATAGACTTATATTTGCTCCTTTTTAAGCATGAAACAACATCCTGCAGAGGAAAACAAAGGTCTCAAGAGAACCAGTATTTCACAAGATACTGTGCACAAAAAAGAAAATGTTCTTCAGGCATTTATGGTGGAGTCTATAAGAAAAACAGTTATTTTTATTATTTCCACCTTGGTGAAGACTCTGTGAGGCTGAAAGTGGTTAGTAATTGAACTACAAATGTTTTTTTAATTGAACTCTTCTCCTTGCTCTCCCTATTAGCACCACAGGAACATTTTCTTGTGTGTAACCTTAAGGTTCCCTGGACTAACTACCCTGTGAGATTTTGCCTCTGTAAGCTTTTAAACAAGAGGACATATGCAAATTCTACATTCATGTTCTCTTGATAGTGACGTTAAAATGATGTGGAATTGAAACATTTCTTTTTATATTTGCAGTGAAAGGGCTTCTGTTGATCCTACTTGGACCTTTGACATGAGAACAAATATTTTGCTATGCTTTCCCAGGGTGTGTGTGAGGAGATGACCTATGAGATGATCCAGAAGACGTTCCCAGAGGAATTTGCTTTGAGAGACAAGGACAAGTACCACTATCGCTACCCAGGAGGAGAAGTAACCTGGCACCCTTCCTCCATCCTATAGTTTTGCACAGCTACTTCTGTGTTAATCAGGGCTCTAGTCAGACTAAAACAGTGGATCCATTTCATTTAATCACTTTTCTTTGTTCACTGTTATTTTGCTGATTCCTATTATAAGTTGTTTAAAGTTCATAGGTAACTAAATGTATTTTTAAACATGGTCATCCATATTTACACTAAACTTTTTTTTGGGGGTTGGGGGGGCGACTCACTAGTCCTACCAGGATCTCGTTCAGCGATTGGAGCCGGTTATCATGGAGTTGGAGGGACAGGGTAATGTGCTGGTCATCTGCCACCAGGCTGTGATGCGCTGTCTGCTAGCTTACTTCTTGGACAAAAGTGCAGGTAGAAATACACAAGAAATGCGTTTCAGTATACACAGCATGAGGCTATGATTACTGTGCTCATACATGCAGAAGCTAAAAACTGGTTTGTGGCTTTTTCGTCTTTCCACAGAAGATCTCCCATACATGAAATGTCCACTGCACACAGTGCTCAAACTTACCCCTGTCGCATACGGTAGGTCCTTATCTTAGATTATGATTGAAACTTTGCCATGGCTAATTTCTGCTCATTGTGTCATTTAAATGTATTCTGTCTTTTTCTTCTAGGCTGTAAAGTGGAAATGTTTTATCTTAATGTGGAGGCTGTCAACACACATAGAGACCGGCCTCTTGTAAGTTCCTCAAAATCGGGCTGGCAAAGAGACACTGCTGCATAATTGTGCATTCAGTATTGTTGAATTAAAGCCCCAGATATGATCATATGTGTAAAATGTTTGTGTATTAATTACTTAAAAAGAAATAATTCAAACTTAATCAGCAAATCTCGTTGTGAAGGTCTAATTGGTTTTTGTTTGTTGTGTGTGCTAGTTCAATGCGGCTGCGATGCAGTCACATAGCCCGGCTTCCTGGACCCCCTTTTTAGTATCCCTGTTCCACATTGTTTGTTTTGCTCAAATGAATCAGCCTGGTTTGAGCTGACTTAATGAATTTTAAATTATTTGTTTTACCTTGATTGAAGCCATGGCTGGTCGTGCTACTTTGCTTGGCTGATTTGATCATTACCATTGCTTTGGTTGCATTCTGATAGTGTGCTCATGCTGTGTGTGAAATGTATGAAAACTGCTATATTTGAGCTTTTGATTCCACTTTGAATTTTTGTTTGTAAGCTTTACTCCCCTAATTGAATAAGGTGTTCATCTGTCTGTGTGATCAGGGTCGTAAAGATACTCTTCAGTGAGTCATTCATTGATTAACATGGCTGAAATATTCCATCACTTAAAACAGCTTCACTTTTCTTACCTGTTACTGTGGAGAATGATGGTTATAATGCTTGGCTGCTTGGTCGGGTGTCCCCAGGTGTTGTGTGTTCCTCAGATCTTTTTCCTTTAATACTTGCGGTATTTCATCTCCTACCAGGGTAAAATCCCGAGGGACTCTGATCTCATACATCGGCGGAATAGTTACACTCCCTTGTCCAGTCACGACCAAGTCAAGCGTCCCAGGCTCTACAGTGCGGGCAACCAGCCCTGGCTACCGCTCGCCCCCACCCCAACAGCTCTGATGCCAGAGGGACGGCCAAGTCAAGTTAGTGCCAGAGTTACAGGCTCCCCTTATAAATCAGTGTCCGTCAACTGCAGTCACCTCCCACCCCTGTTGTAACCAACCCTGTGTTTGGCACTCCCTCACCTCAGTTTTGGACCCTCTCGATGATTTAGTGTCTTTGTTGAAACTGATGTACATGGAGCCCATTTCTCTATCTACCTTTCTCTCTCGGGGCATGTTTTGCATCTTGGACAGGTTGCTCTCTCCTTTTAATGTTGTGGCTGTGGGGTGTTTGTCTTGCATAATCTTTGCTTCATAACTGGGCTGTCTCCAGCTTGGATATGCAGAACAGCATGTCTGCTCTTTGCTGAGGAAAGCTCTTCATGAGTTTGCCACACAGACATCAAAAACATCTCTTTTGTTATATAGCACATATAGCACACATTATAATCAGCACATAACTATTAATTTAATAAAGTTAAAGCCAGAAAACGTTTAGTAAAACATAACACAGTGATCCTTGTTACAAACATTGTGAAAGGCGCTTTTAGAAAAAGTGGTAACATTTTGAAAATCAGATTCATATTAGTATGTGTTGTGTATTTGTTGGCCATGCCTTGTGGGTACTGTGCTGCAGCCCTTCTCCACATCTCTATCTGCTCTCTCTTTTTCTACTTTCTCCAACTGTCTTTAGCCCCGGATAGGAAGCAGTTGTCTGTGAGTATTTTTGGTGACTTGATACATGTAGCCAAGCCTTCATTTTCTTTCCCATAATTCAGCTTATATCACTGTAACTCATATCAATCTGTGTTCTCACAGTGGTGTATTTTTATGGTTTTGAGTTTTTGGGTTTCACTAACATCCCATCACCTTTGCACAGTGAAAGCGGTCGGTTTTGTTTCATCTCAGTGGCCTTAACAAGAACGCTGTCAGATATTCATTCTTTCATAGATAAATGAACAGTAAAACTATCTGATTGCAGCATTTGTTAGACACCTCGATATACAGTGGGTACGGAAAGTATTCAGACCCCCTTAAATTTTTCATGCTTTGTTATATTGCAGCCATATGCTAAAATCATTTAAGTTCATTTTTTTCCTCATTAATGTACACACAGCACCCCATATTGACAGAAAAACACAGAATTTTTGACATTTTTGCAGATTTATTAAAAAAGAAAAACTGAAATATCACATGGTCATAAGTATTCAGACCCTTTGCTCAGTATTTAGTAGAAGCACCCTTTTGAGCTAATACAGCCATGAGTCTTTTTAGGAATGATGCAACAAGTTTTTCACACCTGCATTTGGGGATCCTCTGCCATTCCTCCTTGCAGATCCTCTCCAGTTCTGTCAGGTTGGATGGTAAACGTTGGTGAGCAGCCATTTTCAGGTCTCTTGCTTCAGTGGCATTTTGGTCTGTTTCACCCAGATAGATGAGTCGGTGTGAAAATGTGGGAAAGATGGTCAAAAATGTGATTTAATGTGCTTCTCTTAAAAGCAGTTGTAGGTTTGGTGGTTGAATAAAAATGGGAAGGAGAAAGCTGTGTGACCACACAAAGCAGTTTTGAGTTTTGAGATTCAGTAAATTTGCCACTTCCCCTTTTTTTAACTGTCTTCTTTTTTATGTGGTGTCAAATCTGTGAAAAAGAAAACATTTGTTTGTACATGACCCGGTTGTACTTTTCCTCAGATGCCTGGTAATATCTAACATCTTCAGAATGAATCTAAATGGTAAATCATAATAATGTGGTTTATGATGACATATGAGTGCACTTTTCAAAGTACTCTACATCAGGATATTTCATTCTGACTGACAAGATGTACTTAACATGTACTTACCAAACAAACAAAAACACTATCTTTATAATAATGACCCTCATCAGTCAAATTAAATATTCTTCATATTTTATATTAGAAAACCAGACAGGAAAATGTTGTTTTTACTGCGCCAACCAAACCAGTGCTTTCAGATGAAGACTTTTAAAGTGTAGGTGAAAACTAAAAATCGACAGTATGAATCTTTCATCACAGGAACTCACAGGAATTGCACATTAAATAGTTTATTATTGAAAGAAAAGTGGATGAATAAATCAATTATAAAACAAACACAAGTGAGAATACATGGAGGACTGCAGACTTAATCTAAACGATATCCGGGACTCACCGCTCAGCAGGGAGGGATTTCATTCATGAAGTGCTGGAGGAAGAAATGGGAGGATGTCTGACCTTCGCTCCCATACTTATGTCTGTGACAGGAGG